TTTGCTACTTGGTTAAACATGGATCTGTTGTAGATGTCGTTTTTTTTTCATTTAATAATTCTGTTTTTCAAATAAAAAAAATACTAAAACTACAGAACAAAAATCAGCTAAAAAGATGTTAATTAGAAAATAATAGGACGAGAATGTATATAAGAAAGAAAATTGACTCACTCTAAATATTCAACTGACACATATCTAAAGCCATGTAAAATATAGATTTAGCGTTTTTGTATGCATGTGATATCGGACCTGTATCATTATATTATCTGATTGGACGATATAATTTGAATAACGTTTGTTGTTGTTTCATGATTTGATTAGATTTTTGCTTCATTCTAGAGTTTTTAATGACATATATAACTATGACTCCCTGGTAGGAATCTATGATGATTCCACTAATAGCTTACGGTCTCTTGCCTTACAATTATAAATCTACGACACTTTCAATTTTATATCATTCGATAGAATTCAAAGAGCTTTATTGAACAATACTAATATTTGCCATTATCGAGTCAGGCGTTCATCAAACACGAGATGTGTATGGGCTCAAAAGGTCTGTTGAACACCTCATGATTTTTTAAATAACGCTCTTATCTAATATTCTGACAGTGATTTTGAAGGAAACTCGACGGATAGATTATATGCGGAAAGTTTCATGAAACTCGAAGGCTATCTATCTTCCACATGAGTAATTGTTACAGCACTGACTCTTGAACTGATCGAATGATAAAAATTCGTGTCGATCGAAGTCGATTTGGAAAATTCATTGTTAGATGAGTTTGTATTCAGATGACATGGGAATCGACTAATCAAACGAGATGTGATTCAACTCGTCATAGATAATATGAGTCAAATACCGAAGATGAATATCGAAGTAGGCAAAAAGAAACACGTATTGAGTGCATACCAGAGTCATAACAAACAATGATCGAATGGATGAAGCTGTTCCTATTTTCACCAATCTTATCAAATAACAGGGCTGAGTGTGGGTGGGCATCTACTCTACACAATGACATCTACATCTCACACTCATAAAAGGAACATTTTAGTTATATGTAAAACAGTATGACAGCGATATCTAGTCTTCCTTATTACTGCTAGATAAAATCCAACTCATTACAAGAGAGAAAGAAAAGAAACAACAATCTTAAGGGCATTAATGAAAAGTCGAAAATAAAACCGAAACAAGTCAGAAAAAATATGTCTGGTTATCTTCGGCTTGAATTATAGATTGAACATAGATAGTCAGTAATTTCTTTTCGTTTTCTTTCAGTTTCATTTTCGACCTTTTATCGTTACCCAATCCAAATCGAAAGGTTGTTTACGTGCATAAATTTTGATATCTTCCACCTTACCACAGCCGTTTCTGACCAGTTTTTGTGGACTAGTTTCATAACTACGATCAGTTTCTTAATTACTCTCATCTTGGTTGTTTGATATTTTTATATTATGATGGCAGCTTTTGATGAGAAAGCAAGGGGGAAAGGGCGGACTTTTGTACTTCAAGTACTTTAAAGTACTTTGAGGTAATTTAAAGTACTTTTAGCAGATTTTGAGCTACTTCATACGAACTTTCAAGTACTTTAAGCTACTTTAGGCTACTTTAAGCTACTTTAAGCTACTTTAAGCTACTTCAAGTACTTTCAATACTTCTATATACTAAATTATTTAAAATTTCTCAATATGACTGTAAGTACATAATGTGGATAATAGTTAAAGGTTATTTTATTTTTGGCAAACAATAATATAATATAAACTACTACATTTTGAAAAAAAATGTGATTCGAAGAATTAATTTGTTAATAGAAAGATATTAAATAGTTAGTTTGCAGTATATTTTATGGATAATAATTATAAAAAGACAATTATATTGAATGTGAAAATACGATATTTTCTGCTATTTTATTCAAGGAATAGATTAAATAAAAAATCAAAATTCAATAATATGAAGGATTATAAGTAATCGATATCGACATCAACATATTTTCTACATGTATTTGCGGCTTCATATTAATTAGACAAGATATTGCTTTTGTTTTATATTGAATATATTAATCTGTCTATGATCTTGCTGTCATTATGTTACATAAGATGTATTTTTGTCAAGAATATTTTTTAAATGCGATCGCAAACGTTCATTCGTTGTTATCAACATGATTCAAGATGACTTTTCAGTTACTTATTCATAAATATACGTTTTATTTCCCTAATTAAACCGATAAAATTTGCTTTTCATGCAGATCTACTTGGTTCATATTTGTTATTTTTTCCATTCTTTTTTCTTCTTTACATACAAGACCGTCTCTTTTCTGCTTTTTTTCTCATTTATCATCTTACAAGAAATGATGAATTTGTTGTACAGCTTGATTACGCTAATTTTGATCATTTTTACTAGACTCTCTATAGTTTTCTTTTAGATCAAAAATTTCTAACTTTGATATAGTTGGATAGAGAATAACTCAATCTATCAAATGCTACTATTTTCGATTGATTTATGTTGCATCTAAGGTAGAGCAGTCAGTGACTTTTGAAGAACACTCAAAACATTTTTTTTCAAATGGTAGTTCTGAAATCAAAATTTGCTAATTACAACTTAGTTGTTCAGTAAACTCCCATTGTCTGCACACAACTCGATATATTTTGAATCGCTTTATCGAACTGTATGATTTTCATCAAATATATTCTCTAGATTGGCAAGAGACTTCGACAATTTTGCACAGTTTATCAGCTATCAAATCTCGAATATTAGTCAGATTGCCAACTAAGTGACAATAACTTATTTATTTGAGTATTCTTCTCTGATAGATTAACGACTGCATCGACTGGTCATGGCTCCGTTGTTATATTTACTTGATTTTCGAACGGTGCAAACATCATTGAAAACCTAGCAATGTATGCTTGTCTACAATCCTGACCTTAAAATGAAATTTTCTACTAAATTTGAAAACTATTTCACAATGTGCTATTTATAGACCCATATTTGTTAATTCTCATTAATCTGAAATTCTTTTCACCACAAACAGGTGTCACCTGTGTGAGGTATTATCGTGAAAAAGTTTCTTTTTGCACCTTTTGAGACTTTCTAGATTTTCTCTCTTAGGCTAAAAGTAAAAGAATGAAAAAGAGTGGTATTCCATAGGTCAAGTCATGCTCTATTCAACCATACAAAAGTTAGAAATTTTTGATACAATAGGAAGATATAACGAGTCTAGTAAAAATGATCAAAATTAACGCAATCAAGCTATACATAAAAATAAAAGAAGAGCTAAATTACACACTTCAATATATCCAAAAGACTAGTTATCTTATTATGTTAAATACATAAAAGGACGCATAAAATAACTGCTAATCGTATCAATATTTTCTTTTGAATGATTCAATAGTTTGTTGATAACATTTTTATGATTTCAAATATTCTTATTATCTGTTTCAGATAAATTTTCAAGTAACAGTCGTGCTAATCCTATTTTTTCTGAACATATTAACAAACTGTTTAACAATAATTGAACGAGGCAAATTTACAATCGTTACTTAAAGTCTTTTCCGGTAACGTACTTATACATGAAACCTTCTATTTCTATGTACATTAACATAATTGTTTTAGACCCGCATAAAATTTATTGTACGAAATGAATTTCGGCGTAGACAAAGATAGTTCATTAATTGATACATCAGTTTTACCAAATGATATATTTACACGTGTGGATGATGATTTTTTTTCTATTGTTAAAGCATTAGCCGGTGATTCAGTATTCAATATTTTACGGATACACCTAATTAATTCGGCAAGAAAACTGTTATCTACACCTGATGTATTCGCATTTTTTCAAATTGAATCTGAAGAAACAGATAAAATAAAAGCTGAATCTTGTTTTAAATCTAAAACTGGACAATATTTTGTTAAACCCGGTATTCAAACCAGTTTATCATATTTAATCAAATTATTAAACCAGAAGCTAAAAGAAGAATTAACACTAAATGAAAATAATGAAACTCGAGATACATTTATATCTAACGAGTTTATTGACAAGCATCCGCTTTTAAAATCTTTAATTAGATGGTATCAACAAAATGACTCGGAAAACAACAACAAAGCAAATAGGTGTTTAACGATGTTCATCGATAATGTGGTATTCAATCTTACACAATCTTCAAATAATTTTAGATACACTGAATCAATTAAAAAATTTGCCATATGCTTATATATTTTCGGTGGTAAACAATGCTATGAGTTCGTTCGTTTAAATATGCCTGGTAATATACCGCATTTGTCAACACTTGATGGTTTAATTAATAAATCGAATATGACTTTAACTGAAGCAGAATTTAAATTTGACTCACTTCAAAAGTTTCAATCAGGTTTTGGATTTTGTTCTGAAGATACTACTGGTGTCATTCCTAAAGTTGAATACGATTCGTCGACAAACTCATTCATTGGATTTACAACACCAATTGTTGATGGTATTCCATTGATGAAACATTATCAAGCTGATACATTTGATGATTTTAAAATCATTTATAGTACCAATGAAACAGCACCATTATTGAATGTGCATATGTTCCAAAGTATATCAACAGAAGATGATCCAACAAATTTTCCGAAACCAGTTTTACTCTCTGCTTATGGTGTTGACAACAAATTTACAGCTATGGATATTTTACGACGATGGATGTATATTTTTGAACGTTGTTTAGATAAAGATGTTCGCATTATCGGATTTTCTACAGGTAAATTTTATTTATACAATGCTCCTCTCAAATGTATCTTAATTGTAAATAGATGCAGATAACAAATACATAAGTGCCATGCGTCTTGCCAGTAATTTCTTCGCATCATTAGCCAATTTCAAATTAGACAAGCATCAACATGCATTTAAAATAAATATACCGAATGACTGGATTTGGTTTTTTTTAGTAGAAATCAACTCTTCTTGTTTTTTCAAGATCCGGTACATATCGTTACCAAATGGCGTAATCGATTGTTATCATCAACAGCGGATTTATATATTGGGAACGATAAAATTAGTATTGCACATATAGAACAACTAATCGATAACAATAGTTATACAAAATTAGATCATGGTTTGACGAAAAGTGATATTAATCCTAAAGATCG